AAAAAAAAAAAGAGTTCTGAACCAAAGAAAGGACAGCGGTGTGCCGTGCTGTGTCGCACCTAGGTTTTCAGTGTTGTCCTGTCTGAACACTATAGAAACCATCATTGTTATTCAGAAATGCAGTATAACGAGTTCTCATGTCCTAGACAACTTGTGTAGCCATAATAACGTCGTTACCAAAGGAACAAAGAAACATGTTACACCTGAATCCTTAGTCAAAAACCCAATGTACCATGCCATTACATTGTGAACTCCTGTATATTTCAGTGATAGGAAAAAAAAGTAAAAGTAAAAGTACTCCGTCCCAGTGCGTGATACCTAGGCCTCCAGCATGAGCGTCGATGAGAGAAGATCCGACTGCAGTTCCCGGATTCAGACCCAACTCTGCTGCTGCCTCTTGGGTCAGACCATCACCCAGTGGGCTTCCTGGAGCAGACGTCTTACTGCCTACAGGACAGAGAGGAGCAATTTATGAACAAAAATGTATGCTAATGGTTAAAGGAATTTGCTTATTACAAAAACTGGAATTGTGATGTTAGAAAAGTTACAGTCATGGTTTTAGCTACTGTTAGCAATGTTTTGACCAACTTTTGGCATTTCAGTTGATCAGAGCTGTTAGCAGGCTAGCCGTTCTTTTAGCCGATGGTTTTTCTTCTTGCTCCTGGAGATATTTTCCTTATAGAACGTTTAAGCTAAATGTGAGATAAATAGAACATTATGGCTACTTTTACAGTTGTTAGCTTTTGGCTTTGTTTTAGTTCGTTAGCTTTTAGCCAATGTTTAGAATATAGAATCCAGTGTTTCCTCAGCTAACCTTTAGCTATTTGTCTTCAATCTAACTTTCTGTTATATTCGACTGCCCCCCCCCACTCATTTAAGCACCATTGATTTTGTACCCTATAAATATCATTCCCATCTCCCCGTGAGGTTTAGCAAATATATCTATTTTATAGGGTAGTTTGACGCTCCTGTCCTAATAAATTCATAACCTCGCTAAATATTCTGCTCCGAATCCCTAAGACCTACCTATTTTGGAGAAGTTATTTTCCAGCAGATCCTCCAATCCAATGCTGGTCCAGAAGCTCTCATCCCATCCATCTGGAGGGCAGTACATCCATTTACAGACCACAGTACATAATGACCTAGGAAAACATGGTGAACACATACATACATTAGTTTTTTTAAGAAGATTAATTCAACAAATACGTCTATTCAACTCAACAAGTTCACCTGGTCAAAGAACCTGTTGCTTTCCAAGACAAAAAGTCAGGCAGGTCAAAAAAGTGAGCAGCTTTGTCCCAGCAACTTTCTCTGAGGTTCTGGATTAGAAAAAAAAAATAAACACAGAGAATTACAGTCATAATAGGCCAAAGCTCCACCCTGCTTCGCTCTGAACACCCAGTATGAAGAGAAGCAGAAACCCACAGATACCAGTCTCCTACGGTGACCTCTCTCACCTCTCACCTCTTTAAGCCACAGCAGTTTCGGGGGCTGCATCTCCGGTGACATGACCCCTCCAACTCTGCTCAGGACTTTGTGGCCCGTGTTGGTTATAGAGGAGGCCTGCTCTACAGCACGATGGTCCATCCACATCACCACATTCCTCTGACTGTGGCCTTGAATGAACAGACAAGACAGAGATCGCAAGCAAAATAAATCAGCAAGGGGTCGCAGAAAACTATTCTGTTAAGACTTTTTAAAAATGTTATTGCCTTAACATTTTCTGTGAATAACAGTATGGAGTTGTACTCCGACATTCATATTGTTTTTCCATACAGATTTGAAGTACAAATTTAAAGGTCTTAGACAAGACACACCTTCCTGAGTAACTGGCACAGGCTGGAAGTTTTGATCCAAAACCACGAGCGAGCAGGTGGCATCAAATCCAATGCCACAAACCTGGCTTTTCTTGACATTCTGGATGACTTTCTAGAGAACAATACAGATTAAAGGAAAAACAAAAACATGATGAATGATGAGGTCAAGACAACTTTAAATGTGTCAGTTAAGGCAGGGGTGATTCCCAATCTCCGGTGCGTGGACCAGTGCTGGTTCATAGGTAATTTGGTACCGGGCCACAGTGGGACACTACTTTTTTATTCAAAGTCTTTCTTGTTTTAAAAAATATAGGTCACTCAGACTGATACTAACACAAAAAAGTATTTTCTTTCAATACTGGCGTGGTATTACCGGACCCCAGTAACGGCTGATACCGGCCGACCGGTCCTTGGTACAAAACAGGGGGGGGACCGCTGTGTAAAGCTACACTTAAATGAGTGTACCTTAACACTAGCTACATTAAGGCTAATTGTGGAATCACGGACATAATGAGCGGAATTTTAAAAAGTTCTGCTCCACACCTTGACAACTGTGCAGCATTTCGTCCAGATTTCAGTGGAGGACTGGACATAGTGGTCCGACTCAGGCTCCCAGATGCTGATGGGCTCTGCTGCAGTGGCCCTCAGCAGCCCGTCCCTTGTCACCAGCGCAGCTCTCACGCTGGCTGTGCCCACATCTACGCCAACATAATAGACCTCTGCCATGTGGGAACCAGCTGAAAGGACAGGACAGTACAAGTGAGAATTTGCCTTAAAAGTTGATGATAAACCAGCGGTTGCACGGCCAAAGGCAGCACGAGGGTTCAAGCTAAATAGATTCTCTCACAGAAAGTTGGAGGGGAGTCGATACGAGTTATCTGATGTTATCTGTTTATCACCTGGGGTTTTGTTTGATTAACAGCTAAAGGTTTACTATATTAACTTATTATGTTATCTTGGTTTTGGGGACAGGCGGGGTCAAATTTTCTGGCTAACCTTACGTTATTTAGTTATTTGTTGTCTTTCTAGTAATTTTAAAAATGCAAATGATGTTCCAGCAAAAAAAAAAAAAAAGAAAAGTTCCAATTAATTTTTATTTAATTAATTACCTTTTGAGGCGCTACATTTTAGGCTGCATTTTAGCATTCTTCTTTGTTAATAGTTATATATTATTATTCCAACTTTTTGCAATCTTTTATTTAAAAAAAAAACATCTTTTGGCTATCTTTAGCTTTTATTAAAAAAAAACATCTTTTGGCTATCTTTAAAGTTCAGTGCAGGTTAACTCTTTGTTTTGAATGGACAGAAACGACATGTGACATGTGATGTCAGAGTAGAATAAGGAAGCAAAGTTGTTATCTAGCCGAGGGGATTGTACAATCATTGACTGTCTCCTGCAAAGAAATAAAAAATGATTTTCCGTCCAGTGTGGTTATTTATTCATCTTATAAACTTAAACTTTTACTAATGTTTGCACACACAAATCTGGTGGCATTATGGCTTTCGTCATGCCGTAAAGTGTGGTGGGTTATAGGAGAGCTTGTACCGTTACGCTAGTATCTGCTTAAAGTAAACAGAAATTGATATTATGTATTGTTTTTTTTATTATTATGTTTTATTATTGACATAAAAATCTATAAACATGCTATTTTAAACGAACAACTACCAAGTTGGTGGACCTGCTAAAACTCCGAAGTGTAAACGAAAGTGTCGGCTTTGTAAGAAAAATAACGAATAAAGTGCTTACCGTGTAGATATATTAACGACAGCTTTAAATAAAGCTACGCAACACAATTTTTTACAGCCTCCACGTTTCTGGGACGTTGTATCAGTGTTTAAATCCCTTTTCGAGCAGACTTTGAACCGCAAACGGTGGTCGTTACGGATCGCCAAAGTGGACAAAATAGGTGAACGCCACATTCCCGGCTGGCGACAATTAACATTGAAAACTAGTTGTGGAGACAAATAGCTGAATATCCCAATATTATCTATCTTTTATGTGTATGTATTTTGGAAATACAGACATTTTAGTAAAGTAAGAAAATAAAAATGTCGACATGTTCCATGAACTGTAAACCACGTCGTGTTAACGTCGTAGAATGCAGGTAAACCACGGTGTTAACGTCGTAGAATGCAGCTGTGTATAAATCACGTCGTGTTAACGTCGTAGAATGCAGCTGTGCCGTCAAACAAACATTCTGTATAAATCATTAATAGGAGTTTTGCAGAACTATTTCTCAATTAATTAATTAATTGATAGAATATAACGTAACTCTTGGAGGTATGTAGGTATACTGTAATGGTAAACAATTCAGTCTACTATACCTTTCCTTCTAGAACGAACGTGACAATCGTTGTCAAACGAATGATAACTTTAGATGTTTCCTTGGGTACTTCCTGTTCCTATTATTCCAAACTGAGGCCTTAAAAAAAAAAAAAGTTGCCTTACTTTGAAGCCTTTTGGTGGTTAATACATATTATTTCTAAATAAATACTTATTTTAGCATTTTGTAAATAATGTCTTTTATTTTAAAAGATACCAGGTTTGACTGTTGTATTGGTGTATTGATATATATTTCAGCAATATTTAGGCCTTTTAAAAAATACTAACACATTTTCTACAACTAGTTCCTTTATTGGTGTCCCAGTAATGAAAGACTTCTCGCTACATTAACCCGAGTCAAATATCTTGCAGCCACAATAGTGCAGTGATTTATTTTCTGATTAATGATTCATTGCCTGACAAGCCTCTCACGGTCTCCGTGCTCTAGATCTCGCTATGTAAGAGGGTATAATTTGATTAAAGAAGAACGTTTAAAAATTCATAAACTACAGCCCTGCCAAGTCATTTGTCTCTACCGTGTGCTCGTCTGCGTTGTTATTTCTTTGAGGTGACAAACAGCTGCCAACAGGAGGTAGACTTAACCGTGGTCAGCCTGTTTGGATCGTAAGTGATCGCCAAATTATGAAGGAGAGAGTAATGGCAAACAGAGCAGGAAGAAACGGATGGTTTTCGACAACTATTACGGCGACAGTGTTTTAAAATCACATCTTTCTCTCGCACTCTGAAAATATGCAAAAATTGACCCTGTTGATTGAACAAAACATATAGCCTCTATTTGTGTTTTGCATTAATGGATTGGAACAGGTAGGGGCAAACTAAGTTGTTCAGCTTTTTAATCTGGCCCACCAAAGGACCAGTCGGGCCTGTTCAGCTTTTTAATCTGGCCTACCAAACTTCCAAATCATATAAATTATTTATATTATCATTATACTTCTGCCTTTTTTTTGCAATACCCATGCTTCCCTAATAGATGGCGTGATAAAATAATAAAGGCCTTTATGCATGACATATCATTTATCTTAGTTCACACTTCATCTATCTGCTCCTGGCCCTCCCGCGTGTTCAATTTTCGGACAATTGTGGCCTGAGAGTCATAAAGTTTGTCCACGCCTGGATTAGAAGGTGGGAGAGTATTTTCAAGGAAATTTGTCCCATCAACAATTCAACTCCTGATTACAAACTGCACTGGGTGGAAACAGCTGTTCTGTACGGGGACGAGGAAAGTACTTTTATCTTTAGGCGACCCTGTCAGGTCAGTGCAGGGGAAGAGAAACAGGAAGCAGGACTGGGACAATGCAGTGGTTCAAATGAATGGGATTACAGATAAGTGAACAGGGACAATAAAAGGGAAAGACAATGTTTTTTTGTTTTTTAAAGTTTTGCAGTTCTAGTCTAACATTTACAGACATGCTGCATGTTGAGACAGGCGTGTTGAAAAGATGACCACTGACCTTAGGCAACTTTGATTCTCTTAAACTGTCTGGAGCTGTTCATTTATTTATAGTTGGCTCAAGGAGAGCATGTTGAATAATACAATGGACGAGACCACACAGACTGGAATGCAGCTGTGCAGAAGCTTCAGACCTTAGTCCTGGCTGACATTTACTCATGGGATCTTCGTGAGTGGGTGCTTAGATTATTCTGGAATGCACTTTGAGTATTTTAATGTTTCAGCGTGTAATCGTGTGAGATTATGGGGAACGGTCTCAAAAGGGATTACAAATAAATATTTCCTCTTCCTTAATAATAACAATACTCAAAGCATTTAATTACTACGTACTTTACAGATTAGTGTAGTCTAAAACCTGTTTATGCAGCCAGACTTTGACCAAACCTGATCTCCATAGATTACACAAACTTTTATTTGCACTTTAGTATGTATGTTATGATTTACCTATAATCTAAAACGGTGCAGATTATAGGTAAATCATGTGGCTCACATACCTAAACAGGTTGAACATTTATCTCTGCCACATAAATGGCAAGTTAATGTGTTATTGCTGTTTTTGCGACATTTATCTTAAAAATTAGGTTTTGTTTCTAAGGCAAAAGTCTCAACTTTTACAGTCTCTCAATAACTACCGTTTTCCAGCTAAGGGGTCCATGACGGTGGTAAAAATGGCAATGCGTTGTAATGAATATATGTATATACACGTGGGTATATTCGTAAAAAAAATAAAGATAAAATATAGATATAAATATAGAGATAATAAATAGATATAATAAATATAAAGATAGATAGATAGATATAAATGAGCGGGTAACTGAATATTCAAAAACACTACGTAATCCCAGGGTACATTGCTCCATGGTCCGCATTACCTAATCCCATCAGCCATCGCGCAGGGGGCGGGGAAAAGGCGGGTTGTCATGGCAGCTCATATGTCATTTGACATACCCCGCCTATCAAATCACCAGCGGGCCAATCAGGGGGCGTCGAAATGACATCATTGTTATTTTCAGTGGAGCTGCAGCTTAGAGGTGGATAAAGTTCGTCTCCACGTTGGAAGTGATACAAAGTATTATCTCTCAGGCTCCTTTTGTTTGTACGAAAAAAGGGTAATAAACAAAATAAGAAGATTGAGTTGTTAAAGACACAGGACCAGCGGAGGAACTGCGACTTTTGTTGACGAGCGACCGCGTCACGAAGGAAAACTTTTCTCAGGACGCTAACTTGTCAGTGAGTTGAACTTCAACAATAGGCGGACTCTTATCAGTTGACATTTGGGACATAAAGGATTTTTGGGACACATGTAAATTGTTTTTTTTCCCGTCTCAATCAACCGGACAGCAGCCTTTAAAGGAGACACGAACTTTATGTCTAGGAAAATGGAAGCGACCTTTTACGACGAAGCCGTCAAAGCTTCCAACTCGCAGCACGAAGGAGCGGCTATGTTTGGCTTCAACCCCAAAATTCTGAAACAAACCATGACTTTGAACCTTAACGACCCTAAAAACTTCAAACCTCACCTGGGTGCTAAAGCCCTAGACATCCTGACGTCTCCCGATGTGGGTTTACTGAAGCTGGCCTCGCCTGAACTGGAGAGACTGATAATCCAGTCCTGCACCAGCCTCACGACTCCGACACCAACCCAGTTCCTGGGCCCAAAAAACACTACCGACGAACAGGAGGGTTTCGCCGAGGGCTTTGTGAGGGCTCTGGCTGAGCTCCACTACCAGCAGCAGATGCCGGTCGGGCATCCCGGCGGCGCGCAGGCCGGCGGTGTTGTGTCAGGCACCAGTGGGTCCGAGGGCGGCGGGATGTCTTACAGCTGCACGGCGCGCGCCGAGCCGCCTGAGTACACCAACCTGGGCGCTGGGTACCGGGCTGTGGGTTCTGCGTCAGCACCTGGCGCCGAGAAGCAACCGCCGCCGCCACCACCACCACCACCAGCAACCACGGGATACCCGTCGTCCTCTCCGCCTTCTCACAA